CCAATGGTAATGGCTTTGTGAATATGTCTGCAAGCTGCACACGAGAAGTACAGTACTCCATTTGGATGTCTTGATTGGTGACCAAATTTCTGATGAAGTGATGACCTATCTTTATATGATGAACAGGATTGTTCGTCATTGCGATGGTAGATTAATTGTCACAGTAAAGTGTAATTGCTCCATCTTGTAACTGCTTCATGTCTCCCAAAATCCTTCGTAGCCAAACAGCTTGGCATGCCGTTGTAGTAACTGCTACATATTCTGCCTCTGATGAAGAGAGAGTGGTTGATTGTTGCTTCTTTGAACACCATGAAATTGCAGCTGAACCAAGGCTAAAAATATAGCTTGAGGTACTCCTCCAGTCTTCAATTGAACCTACCCAATCACTGTCAAAAAAACCAAGTAACTCAAATTTGTTAGTGTAGGTATAACAAATACCATAAGAGAAAGTTCCCCTTAGGTATCGTAACACCCGTTTTGCTGCTCCCAGGTGAATCTTGTTTGAACTTGACATGAATCTTGATAACAGGTTTGTTGCAAACCGAGTGTTAGTGATGTATTACATATTGCCAATCAAACTTCGAAAAACATAATAGTCCACATTTTCTTCCTCATCATCCATACAAAATTTCTGATTTGTATTCATAGGAGTCTTCTTGGAGTCCAACAATGTATAGGGAGTCATTATTTCATCAAAACCATCAGCTTAAAAATCCCTTTGGACCCGAGTTCACCAAATCATGGCAAACTATTGAAACATTATGTCTCCAATCTACAAGATGAAAACAGCTTCTCTGGGCTGCTATGTATGTCATGTGATGCTCCTCGTAGTTCTTTACATTGACCAATATGACTTCTTTCGCTCGATTTTTCTATAGATTTTATCACTTTTGGCTGTTGCTTGAAACTTTGCAGGTGATCCAGTGACTGAGGTATTGAAAGATTCTTGCCAGGATTTGATGCTGATGTGCCAGCATGGTGAGAAGCACTGTTGACCAAGTTGTTGCTGATTTTAAAAACGCACAAGCTCTTAAGGACATGAATATTTAAATGTTAAAAAGAATTTGAACTATTCTATCTCAATTTTACATTTTGTTTTGTCAACTAATGTAAATGATGATGATAAACATTTACAATGCCTATAGAGATTTGATTTCATTTGCCTACTGGTCTCTCATATTGTTTATGATGATGACAAGGTTGTCTTTCCTGAAATCTTCTTGCTAAGCCCTGACGAGCAATAGTCACAGAGAAATGAGTAAACTTTTTTGCAACTCTTACATAAGAAATGCGGATATGCACTCAACTGCCAATGAAGTTGATGAAATTCTTCGCCACTGCAACGATAATCCAGGTTTACTATTAGTCACCATTTGAATGATGGAATGCAAGTGGCCATGGACAACAATGGCATAGCAGCTAGATTTACTTATAGCTTTCATATTCCGAACAAATTCAGACGAAACAAAAAAAATTTGATGGCGAGGTATGGAATCCTCGGGTCGTGGCTGCAATGGCTATTCACAGGTTTTTGGAGTTTTCAGAGGAGTTGCGGTGTTGACGGGTTCTAAATCTAATGATTCTCCCTCTACCTGGTCGACACCCTTTATTGGTATAGTTAAATGCAATGTTGACGCTTCTTATCTTTATGCAGCTGGTATAGGCGAGGGGGGAACCGTTTTCCATGATTCAGAGGGCTCAATTCTTTAAGCCATTGTCTTTAAACAATAATTCCCAGCTCCTTCTCCTTTGGTTGTTGAGGCTTGTGTCTTTTGGTTCAATTTTCGGAATTGATTTTTTTCAATTTTAACAATTTCAATTCCATGTCGCCAAATATAACCTCAAACTTTTTTTTTTTTTGGATGAAAGTTTCTCATATTCATCAGCAAGGCAATAGGGTGGCCCATGCCCTTGCATCGCTCTCCCCTCTTGTTTGCATGCTGATGTTGTTCTCTCTCGGTTCCCTGGGGAAGTGTTAAAGTTGGTGGATTTGGATTGTAATCATTTATGTTGATTAGTGTTCCTTTTGTTTGTCAGGCCAAAAAAAGGCCAAAAAAAAAAATAAGTGTAAATTCTAGTAAAATATATTTGTGTATCCCACAGTTGAATATATATTTTGAAAAAAATCTAAAACAGGTGCCTCCGACGTATCCAATTTTATTAAAAAATATATATATGAACACATGCATATATGCATATCTCGAGTATTGGACACATGTCCAATAAAGGAATAGGACCACTCAGGTGCCTCCATGCTTCATTGGACTCAAGTCTATAACTATGTTCTTATTAACAGGGTTTAAATCAGAAAACAGTCAGTAATATCATTTTTTTATCATAAAACTCCAACTTGTTTGTAAAAATTCTAACAGTATTATAAAGTTATCATTTTGCCCAAGTATATCAATGAATTGTGCTTTTTAAATGACTAAATTACCCTTATGATATACCACTTTATTTAATACAATAAAAATTCATATTTACAAATTACAACATTATCCTCTTACAAAAAACAAATATATATTTAGATTAAAATCAAATTATAAAACCCTCACTACTTTCAAATTTTGATCATAAAACCCCAACCTGTTTCAGAAAATCCTTACACTGTTAAAAAGTTATCACATTGCCCCAATATCCATATCCGACCCGTTAATCGAGCTATGAAATGACAAAATTAACCTTATTATTTAATGTTAAATTAAAAACTAAAAAATATTTTTGAAAAATACAAAAATACCCTTTGAAATTACAAAAATTATGTTTAATAGAGAGGGTAAGAGTTTGAGAGAGAAAGGGGGTGAAGAAGAAGATTAAAGTGTATTTTTATAATTTTAATAAATAATTTTTAATTTTTAATTTAACAATAAATTGTGAGGTTAAATTTGTCATTTGTCATTCCATAACCCGGTTAATGGGTCAGACACTGATATTGGGGCAGTGTAATCACTTTTTAAAAGTATAGGGATTTTTTTAAATAAGTTGAGATTTTATGATCAAAATTAAAAAATTCATGGGGGTTTTATGATTTTAACCCAATAAAAATTAATAGCACATGGTTGGCACATGTTCTTGCAGGTCATTAAATTTGATTACCAATACATGTTAAGACCACGTGCAAAACTAACAGCGTTGGGGCAACATATAACTTTGTAATACTATTAGAATTTTTACAAACAAATTATAGTTTTATGATATAAAAAAAATGATATTATTAGAGTACTATGATTTAAGCCCTTATTAATTCTCTAAGTTGCAATATTCCTAGTCACGCAAGAAATGGTTACCTTCCACATTTACCCGATGTTAAATATGGTGGTGAGCCCTCTAGCATTATAGGAATGTCAAAAGAGAAGTGATTGTGATCCAAGATTGAATCAATCCAACAATTTACTACAGTTTGTTGAAAGAACCCATGCACCCCCTCTAGGGTTGCTAAAATTACAAGATACCATTTTATTTTTGTTTTACAATTTAAGCTCCTTGAATGCCTATTTAGGGTCTATTTGGCAATCATTTTTATTTTGTGTTTTTTTGTTTATACCACAACAAAACATTTTTTATTATGTACGTGTTTGGTCACTGTTTTGACTTGTACCAAAGGACTACTAAAAAAAATTGTCAAAACCGAAAACACCAAATTAATGCTTATGGTTGACACCGTTCACCAAAAATAATAATAATAATAAAGATTAAAAAATAAAAATCCTCTAAAATGACATTTTTAACTAACAATTTTTTTTTTCAAACTTGCAATATATTTTTTTTTTATTAAATATGTTTTCATGTTATTACTTCCAAAAATCTTGCAACAAATATACATTACAAAATTAAATAAATAGTATTGAACACACTTCAAAGCAAAAACACTATTCTACTTCAGTACAAAGCAACTGTAGTTTTTCATGATGACGAAGGATTGAATTAAAATCCCCCAAAATTATCCATTTTGAGCTCAATGAAGATCTCAGGGTTACCCAAAGACTCCCACTTTATCTTGAATTGATTCTTCACTCAAAACATACACTCCTGTAATAAACCAAAGTACCTACAGGATCACCATCATTCATTGCACATGTAATTGTAACCCCTAAACTCAAATTGAACAAACATACCCAACCCACCAGATGATCCTCTAGGTTAACAGCATGCATATCAACTTACCCAATTTTGATCTCGACCTAACCACACACTGCTTTATTTTGGGTACCCAACAAACAAATATTTCGAGAGGAATGAAGGTTGTCTGGCCTTCTCAACTGGAAAATTGCCGGGAATACTCCGAAACCCTGACAGTTCTGCATCAAAATTATCATCAAGGGCCATTCACGGCTGGCCACCTCCGCTCACTAACCTCATTAATCTTCCCCAAATTAGTAACTCGCGATTTCTTACGAGCATCTGCAGCTAGACCCTCTTCTGCCATTAATCTCCTTTTTGAACCAACATTTGAAAATTGAACACACAAACAACAAATTAAACCGACATACTAGAAGAGCTATTAGACATTAAACTCAATAGAATCTCCATGGGCCTCAATTAAGTCCGAATTCTTAATTGGGGGTTTGAACCTGACGTAAAAGATGATTGAAGGGACCAAGGGGCTAAAATCAACAATCATCCTTCAAACGTCCAAGGACTGGTTTCCAATACACACGTCATCATCTTCTCATCTGGAAGCTTAAACTGAAAGACCATCCCCACGGTCTCCCCATGAACGTACATAACCCATTGACATCAGTAACATTTTTCCTGCACAACTCAATGCATGCCATCCCACATATCATCCTCAAAGACCACAATCCCACCCTTCCTCTTCTGCAGACAAAGTAAAATTCTCAATCTGAGTTAACAAGAACTCATTCATCATGAAACCACGACTAGGATTCATGGAATCAAATAATTTGACTATTAACATATAATTTTTTTCTTCCAATTCACAAACTTAACCTGGTAATAACAGTTATAATTCTGGAACAATAAAGGTCTGAGAAAGCAAATACACAAATTCCAACACTCCATGCCCCTTTAAAAATGGGGAATGGATCTATATTGTCTATGAAATTTAAATTTACATACAGTACACCTTCAGCATAGCCATATGGCTTCAGCAAAGCCCTAGTCTTACAAAAAGTAAGATATATCCTAACTAGAAACAATGAGATGCAGATTATGGAAAATCATTCCTACTTTCCTTCCTGTTATTTTCCAGCAATTGCTGGTGATACTGTGATTTCGAATGCCCTAGTCGTAGCTGAAAGTAGACCTGAACAATGTTGGAGGCTGCCCTCAAAATATCTTTTTCCGCTTCTTCTGCCATTTCCATTGCATCTCTTGGAAGAGGAAACAAAAAGTATGCAGTGTTTTAGAGTGATAATCAACTTGTTGAACAAAATTCAAGGAACAGGTGATAGAAGCTTACCTAATCAAAACGTCAGGTGGCATGGAAACCTCAATTTCAAGTAAACTCTTGCCTTGCAACGTGTGGTGTGTTATGCAGTCAACCACCATTTTCTGAAACCCATTCAAAACTTGCATTTTTAGACTCGCATGTGTGTGGTATACAAAACTGTTTAAATCTACTTCCCAAATTTCACAAGTGGGCACAAGGGATATTTATTATTTTATTTTTAATAAAACTCAATTAAGCCCTATGACAAACAAACAAACAAAAATGCTATGCTGGCAATACAGCAAGAAAGCCCGTGTTGCAACTCTCTCCACGCTATATCCAAATTGAGATTCGGGATATTAATCATATTACGCACTGGAGCCTTGAATGTTCACTATGTGAAGAGATTTAGGACTTGGGAGAATCAGAATGCCACAAATCAGCAAATGGAATGTCAAAAGCATATTTGATATTATATTCTAGTACATATGAACCATGAAGAGTGAAACTAGGCATCCTTCAGGAGAATATTTTCCAACCCCAAACACAAGGTCAACCTGAACTGACCACCAAATAAGTTAAGACTTAGAGAAATACCCCTCCAAACTTTGATAATAATATGTTAGCAATGATGTTTTCAATTTCCTTATGCTCTGGGGATGCAGTCCCATTCTGGTAATCTGATCCCTTTGTATCTGATTGCCGGTCCATTGTACTGGGCAAAATTTGTGAAATTGCAGGCTCTACAAGAAAAATAAATAATAAAAAAAAATTACTATTAAATTAATGAATAAATAAGAAAGAATCAACACATGATAAGAAAGCAAGAAACTGGTGAACTCTAAAGACATAACTACAATCCTGTATGAAATAAACAAGAACATCCTACCAATAAGACCTACAGCAACCTATAATTTTCAAAAACATGTAAACTAAACTGTATTGAAAATAATGTTTGTTTGGTTTATCTCGTTCCTACATGTAGATGGCAAAGATAAATCGATATATTCATATGTTCACATCACTTAAAGCATATACCTAACTCTAAAAGCCTTTCGTCATGGTACCATGTACACATCCAATTATATTTCAATTGCATCACATATCTACAAATGGTCTAAACAAGAAGTCACAACTAATAAGATGAAAGCAAGGAACGAAGATCACAAATTCACGACCAATGGCCACCCTAATCATTATTCATTAGTCATGCTAGCGGGTTGGGAATGAGGAAAGAGTGAAAAGTGTACCTTGAAATGAAAATGACTGTGATGGTAGATTTCTATAATAAAAATTAAAAAAAATAAAAAATAAAATACACAAAAAAAAAAAAAAAAAAGAAGCAATAAAGGAAAAGGAAAAGGAAAAAAATAGTAGGGCAACAAGAAGAAAATAATAAAACCAAAAAAGATACCTATATGTATGAAGACTTCAGCTACTTCAGGATGGTACTTCTGAATTTGACGACGAACATTTTCATCAACATCGTGTGCAGCACTAACACTCAAAAAAGGATCGACCTGACAGACGAAATTAACTGCTATATCTATTTGAGGACATGAAATCACATAGGATATCCAATCACTTAGATGTCTATGATGAAATCAAATGGATCACATAGCTGTCTATGACAAAATCAAATGGAAGGTAGTACCACATAGGATATACAACAGTAAAACAAGCAGCAGACCCTACCTCAATAATTACATCAAGATACAGAGATGAACCGGCCCTCCTTCCCCTGAGGTGATGCCATCCCTATAGCGTTCAATAGAAAATGGTTTAAGCAAAAAGGTCACGAAAATATATTTCAAATGATCCACAAAATTTCAAGCTATCATATATCAAGAGGCAACTGTTGGCAAGGTAGTACAAGATTATAAACCAACAATAGCCTATAGTCTTCCCTTGAGTCAATAACCAGTCCAACAAATGAGACTTCTTTATCCAATAAAGAGACTGACAAATGGTAAAATAACTAAAAGGAAAACATAGAAGAAAAAGGAAATAAAACCAGGAGAACTGTATTTGAAAAGCATAATCAATACCTAATGTAGTCGTCATTGGAGTTTGAAATTTTAATATTAATTAGATATAGATAAAAATTAAATAAATTTGCACATTGACTCTCCAATGATGAATTTCTTATAACTCGTGTCAGTAACAATCTAAAACTTTATTTATTGATGAAAGTACAGATATCACAATTATATTCTGGTCACTCACCAGAAATGGATTAGAGAACAATATTTCTGCTCTCTGAACATAGGCCAGGAGACACTGGCCAAAAGCAGTTATATTCTGTTGTTTAATATAAATATTGGATTCCACAAGAAGGTTAGGAAGTCTTGTTTGTTCCACCGTGTGTTTCCACAAAATTGGGACACTTGGAATGTGTATGTGTGCCAGAATCTCGGAAGATTCAGAGAGGTCAAACGAAAAGGAAGATCCTTTTGGAATGATCAAGCGATTGTAAGGTTTCGGATTTGCCTTTGATGAAAGGACTTTTAGTTAAGACTACAATGCTATCTAGTGAATTGAAATGCAATACTGAAAGTAAGTGCACGAATGTAAAGGAATTGAAAAGACTTGTATTGAAATTGCTTGAATTGAAATACAAAGTATTGAATGTTGATTGATGTCGTTGAGAGAGTTTGAAATGTAGCCCTAAACAAACTATTTATAGGCATTAAAGCCTTACAAGAAGGACCCATGTCCTTTTAACAACCGCCCACTCCTTTCTTACAAAACACTTGTCTATGCTCAGCTACCGAGTTCCAACTTCCATACCCATGATCTATGAGTTTCTTCCATTGCTACCATGTGTCCCACGTTCTTCAAACTACTCATCTGAATATATATATATATATATTATGTAATTTAACTGCTTCAGTCTATTTCCTGTTGAAATGGATTCTATATAATCCACGATCTCCTTATTCCTAATTTTTAGGAACTACCTCCTTAAGCCGTGTATTGATTACTCCTTAAAGGTAGGGACTTCTAAACTGAACTGTCAGTTGAAGTTTAACGTATTACAAACTCCTTTAGCCCATGTCCTCCTTGTTTTCAGGAAATCGTTCAACCCACGACTTGATAGCCAGCTGTCGTTATCCTTCCATACTTGCCTTTCTTGATCTGCCAAATGTTTCCAGCATATTGGAATCTCTTTCCTTTCCAAGTTTGACATGTGTTAATTTATCATTTGGACCATGATTTAGTCCAGTCATACTCTTTTACTGCACCATGTCATCATTGAAGTGGCCAACTATTGGCCTGACACTTTTATGTGCCAACATTATGCCCCCCAATTTTGAAGCTTTCTATCTTCCGAGATTAGGCTTGTAAAGATTTAAAATTTGAAACTTCCTAGATATCCGCATAAGCCTTATCCAACAAAGATTCTTTGTGTGCCGATTACTATTCCCAATTTGAAAACCATCACCTCTTACTTAAAAGGCCACAACTTTCCACCTACCACCATTAAGTGCCTGTCTTCTTTAATCCCTTTTTAAAATCAGAAAGTTTCCTTATATTATGCCATCTTCCTCGTTCAAGACAAAGCTCCTTCTTCCTTCTGTATCAAACCCTTCTTCCTCTGTTGAAGCTTTCCTTTCAATTTCTTAGATGGCCCCAAAGGAAAATCCTCTCTTGATCTTCCTTTACCTTCTGATCTTCCAACAACCCATGGACATCAAGCAGCGAAAGCTATCTCTAGCCTTCCAGCTGACCAGGTTTTCCTAGAATCTTTCATCATCTTACCTGACGACGTTAAATCCGTAAGTCTGGCTTTTTCTTCCAAAATTCCCTCTTCAATTACTTCCTTCTACCCTCAAGCAGAAGATTCGCTTCCTTTTTTGAAGAAATTTCCAAAAGCATCAAATGGCGACTTACCCATTTTTAACTTAGAAAATTGGGTTACGCCATTTGAAGGTTGGAGCGCTTAGGTTGATAGGATGACTCCACTGAAGGAAGAAAGCTGGAAGCAACTTGGAATTTACGATGCAATCCAGCTTAGCAAAGTTCTCCCAATTCAAGATAAGTCTCTCTTCTTTGCTACCCTATTCTTTTGGAGCTCTACCACAAATTCTTTACATCTAAACTGTGGCATGATGGCTCCTACCTTAAAAGATATCTGCCACTTGACTGGCTTAAAACCCATTGGTACTGAAGTGAATTGTCTTCTTTATGATCCTGACACTGCTTTTAACTTTCCAACCAAAGAATCTGGTACAAAAACTTATGAAGCAGCTTCCGGCCCTTTTCTTCAAGCCTGTATAAAGCATACCCCTCAAGCCGAAGATGCAGAACACATTGCCTTTCTACTTGTATGGCTTAATCGGTTTATGTTATGTGTTCCAGCCTTGCAAGTTACCAAAGATCTAGTGGAAGTAGCCATCGCTTTGTCAAAAGGTTCTCCTTTAGCATTGGCTCCCCTAGTCTTGATTGCAACTGATTTTTCCAGAATGGGAGGTCCATTTTGGATCTTCCAACTCTGGCTTCAGATTTACTTCCCAGAGCTAGGGCCGAAAGTTAGACCTTCGGCCAATAATGCTTTAATTTCCTTCAGTTATGCTTCGGTTATGCCTAAACCTCAATCCTTCAGAAATTGCTTCACTTTTTTCTACCAAGGCTGCCAAACCAGAACTCCTCAACAATTCCTTCCATTTTCTTCCCGTATTCAAAGTCCATCTTGGCTCTCTCCTATCCCTATTTCCACTAAGAAACTATCAGAAGAACAAAAGTCCATATGGGCCAGCTTTTTGGTGGCCAGAGATATTCATTACAGTACCGCTTCATATTCTTCCAAAAATAGCAGCATTGGTGTAGAGTTCTACAACCCTGCTCAGCTTGCCCAGCAGTTTGGCTTATAGCAGATGATTCCTCAGCCATCGTGTCCCTCTTTCAACGGCACCTTCCATCTTCATGTAAAATTCAATGATGATGGTTTTATTAAAACCGTGAGTAATAGATTCAAATCTTTGAAGAAAATCTTCCAATTTAAGCCTTTCGTTGAAGATCCAACTTCTGATCCTGCCTTTGACAAATGGTGGCATTCCTATGTTGTGAAAACTAGGGAAACAGATTGTTCTTCCCTTATTACTACTCAACTTGGTTCTTTCAAATTTGTAAATCCTGTCTTCCAAGGAACCGACCTTCTCAAAAGTCCCAAAAGAGGTGGCAAGAAAAGGAAACAGACAGCTAAGACTAAAGCAACCCTTACCTCTCCATTAAAGAAAACTAAAAGAAGCACAAGTTCCAAACAAGGTAATAACTCATTATTATATCCTCAATCATTCAAACTTAGTTACTTACCTTTTCATTCTTTTGCCAGCTCTTCCTATTGACTCTGATGATGAACAAGATCCTTCCAATCTGTATCATCTCAGAGTCATAGTCAAACAGCCGAGACAGCGCCTCCCAAAGGAAAGATTTCCTCGGCCAAAAAGGCATATACCTTATAACTTCTTTCCTTCTTCCTAAGTTGTATATTTACAAAAGCAGTTTCTCACATTCTTTCTTGCATTCAGGCTCCTGCTAAACCAACCCTTCCAAAAGGTACCACAAGATCTGGACGTCCACTTGTTCGAAGACAACTTCCTATTCCTGAAGAGACTATTGATGTAAGTGAAAAAAGTCTCAGTGCTGATCCGGAAGAAGAGAAAGATGAAATCGAAGAAATAGGAACAAGTGAAAAAGAGGAAACCGAGGAAGAAGAAGAAGAAAAAGAAGAAAAAATGGAAACAGAAGAAGAAGAAGATGAAAGAGAAGAGAATGACTTTGAGGAAGATGAAGCTGCGGGAAAAGATGGTAGTGAAGAAACTGCCCATTCTGAAAGAAAATCTTCTGCTGAGGTATTTCTTGATACTTCATATTTCTTCTTTCTGCTCCTTTTGACTATTTATTAACAGCACTTTGTTTTTCAGGATTCTTCTTCACATAGCCCTCTTGATCCCAATCTACCAAGTCCTCCAAGATCACCATTGAAAAAACAGACATCTCTTACTGTCGTTCTTCCAAAAGATCCACCTACTCCTCCAGTAGGGAAATCCACCCAAATAGGAGCTTCTGGTACGGAGGAAGTAGTTGAATCTCCCTCTCCACAGAAGAAGGTAACTCTTTATTTCTTTTCTTTGTTTTCTCATATTTCCTTAACCTCATCCTTCTTGTGCAGGACACTGTTGTCCAAACTCAAGCTTCCATGGCTATCACTTCCATGGGATCATTCTCGGCTTTCAGTGATTACTTTCAAGCCGTTGAGTCTTTGGTTGAAGAAAGCATGACTTCTTCCTGCAGTGCTTTAGCCCTTGTTCCCAATCCTTCCAACACTTTTGAAGAGGATAAAGAAACCTTACTTACCCTTCTTCAGCATGATTCTGCTAATCTTCCTTTCGTTAAAAACGAACTTTCATTGGCCCTAATCAAACTTAGCCAACACCAAGGTTTCCCGGTGAAGATTCAATCGGCCATTTCTTCATTCAAAGCTTATCTTCCAAACCTATCCAAGTCTATCCAAGAATCCCTATCTGTCATTTCACAGGTGGAAGAGAAGAACAAGAGAGGAGATTTCTTTACTGATAAACTCAAAGGCTGTGCTGTTGCTTTCAAATCTCTCAAACCAGAAATCGATAGGCTCCAAACTAAGGAACTTGAGGCAAGCCTTAGCTCAAGTTCAACTTGATCAACAAGCGCTCAACTCCAAGCTAGATGGAATGAAGAAAGAGACTGAAGGCTATAAGGTGCAGTTTACCAAAGTT